GGATATGCATAGAAACAAAACAGGACACACAGAACTTTTGAGGAAACTTTTGGAAAGCAGAGCAGAAGGAATATAATTATTCCTATCTCTTAATAAGAAACAGATTTATTTTGTTGTGCTGTTTTGCTTTCTTTTTGTATGAATGTAAAAAAAATGCAGCAACTGGTTGTCAGATTACTTGTGTAGTTGTATTTGTGTAACTATCTAACCATAGCTAGTTCGTTGCAAAGACAATTGCACAATAACTGATTAAATTTCATAAACGTGTTGTGGATCATCTTTATCAGAAATGATAACATGGTTCACACATTTTGGGTGGTAACAAATTTGTCTGACACGCAGAGACAGATCTAATTTATGACACTTAGTGAACTTTTAGGTTTATTTAGTGATAAAATCTTCCCTTCAGTCTGACGCATTCAATTTTCGCAGCACTTGCCTTGCAACTCGTCATGTCTGAGGCATATGAGTGAAAACAATCGTCATCTGATAACCAGAATGATAATGATAAATCATGTGATACTCTCTGCTTCAGCCGGAATGACCCCAAAGACCTCAGAGCAGATTTTCCCGCTCAGCACAAGAACTGGACTGCTGACTGGTTCTCCCGATGCACAAGTCACTGCAAGCCACAAGGTCAGCCGTGATGTGTTTCTAGACATGTACTTATCAGGATCCCCGTGGCCAATACAACTTTGCATCTCAAAGATCCATTCTAAATGTTTTTTTTTTAGAGATTATAACACATAAATTAGGGGGAAAGGATATGCGGCTGCTTCGATAGAGGTAGTACTTTTGAATAACACAGAAAATTAAGAACTTGCAAGTGCATCTCCATTTATGCAACCAAGCCTATGGATCTAACCTCTCCCTCATGTTCATTAAAAACAAAAAAGTGCATCAATAGGCATCCATTTGGTTAGTGAAAGCTCTTAGTTTTATATCTAGTTTATAGTCTAAAATCTGGCTGGTTTTAAAACTTAGGATGTTTTTTTTTTTGTCTAACAGCATGTTCAACCCAGAAAGCCCAACCGAACCAGGACGGCGTCAAACCTGCAATGCCACGATCAATCTCCTGCTTTCCAGAACAACGTCAGCAGGAAGCCGGCCGTTAAAAAGGGTCCCTTTAAAAGGTATCTTTTTTTTATTTTAAAAAAATCATTTTAAGTGATTGTCACAGCATTTTGCCAAATTAAATACCCATTTGTAATAGTCGATGTGTCTCTTATCTGAAAACAAGTTGCTTGGTGTGTTGCACTGCAGTGTGTCTGTCTGCTTCCAATGTTCAGGTCCCTCAGCACCGGCAAGCTTTCCGACATGCTGCTAAAAGCGGCCTTCGGAGCCAATCTGTTTGAAGAAGGATGCGATCGGGGCTTCAGCTGGGAGAACAGCACTGACACAACAGGTAAAACATCAAAGTATCACAAGTATTACCAGTTTATGTACTTCTAATCAAATTCACTAAGCTATTGTCTTTTCAATTTACTGGTTTCCTTCCTAAGGGTTTCTTTTTTGCCTCTACAGCTCCACCTGCTGGATTTTATAAAGTTTTTCAGTTTTCAGACAGCCCGCCTCCTGCAGTTTTTGCCATGGGCTCTCCACCACAGGGAAACCTGCTCTCATGTAGGGGATTTTTTTACCTCCCTAAAAACTGAATACCTGTCTTTATTTTGAGTTTTTCTTTGGGCAGTTTGTAAATGAAGCAGGTGTTGTAATCTGTTGCAACTATCAATATGTGACTCAGATTTTTTGTCAGCCGTCTTCATGGCAGTAGCACCGTTGAAACTTGCATTTTGCCCAACTTGTAGGCTCTCCCACCTACTTTAACTCCGGTTGGACACTGAACGCTTGCCCTCTCCAGCGGGGAAGCCGACGAAAAAGTGAGACTGAAGCAATGGAAGCCATTCCGGAGAGCGGTCTGATTTTCCACCCTCCAGAGCTCCCTGAAGATACACTGATGGAGGTAAAAATGAATGAATTCCGTCTACAAAAATGACAAATTCGACATCTGAGATTTTTTGGTGTTCGTGGAATTTTATACCCGCTGTCTTTTCTTAGCAGGTTCATACAGATGCTCTGAGAGATTTACGCTTCACTTTGGCTTTTGTCACTTGTGTTATGGAGTTGGCTTCCTCAAAAGGCCCAGCGCCGGAGGACTTTGGCAGTCCTGATATTTCCTTTTTAGAACAGAGCATTGTGACAGATCAGATCAGCCTTCTGAGCAGAGAGTGGAGGTAAGAAACATGTCAAATGTGAGTCACTGCCTGAGTTGTATGATGCCATTCCCGGCTTGTACAAAGTCAGAATGACGGATAGGTCACCTTTTAAGATTTCAGTGGAAATCGTTAATAGTATTCAGAAGGTTTGGATTTTTAAGTCTTATTGCATGAAATCACATTCATGTGTGGTTTTCTATGCTATAAAGCAACACATAAATGGATCATTTCAATCTAGATTTTTAGTGGTTCCTTCTGCTAACAGTAACGTTTCAAAACCAGATTTCTAGGCAAACGTCTTGGTAATATGATGAGTTGCTTAAAACTCGTGGCATATTCTGCTTAGACTTGGAAGTAAGTTTTTCCAAATTTCAAGTTGTGATGCAACTAAGACGCATCGGCTTCAGGTGTGATGTCATTGCTGTATCTCAGTCTTGACTTGCAAGATACATCAAAGAGATCATTAGCTGTAGTTTCACATTTTGTTTCATTATGTGAGATAAGTGTCAGGCGTTGACTTTCATAAAACTTATGTTCTCTCAGCATGTGAAGGGGTTTTATTCTTGTTAGCCTTCTCTTTACTCGATATTTCTTGTCTGCTTCCAGCTATGCAGAGCAGTTGGTGTTGTACATGAAAGCTGAAGAGTTTCTGTCCTCTGCACTGCATACTGCAAAGGAAAACATAAAACAAGGCCAACTCCAGATCTCTTCGTCAGTCAAACAAGGTGAGATTGTTGCCATGAAATAGAATGTCACACATGCATTTTTCCCCCCAATAATTTTAATTTGAGTGTGACTGATTAAGGCCATCAGGAAGAATCTGAGTGTTTGGATGGTATTGTCTCATTCAAAAGTTGAAGTAAGGGAAAAGCAGACAGAATCATCCAGAATAGAATATTTAAGATTTTCATCAAATTTGGGTTTAAACTTTGTTGGTGTTACACCTGTAGCATCTAACAATCAATTACGCATATATATATATATATATATATATATATATATATATATATATATATATATACATATATATATATATAGTATTTCATACTTTATTTTACTTCAGATGCCACAGGGGTCAGAGACTGTAGACTCTAAATCACCCACCAATTGATCAAACACATTTGATTTTATGTTTTTAAACAATGCATAAGATGTTAATGTTGGACAAAAAAACTTTCTTTTTCTGTTTTTCAGTGATCAGGAAACTCAACAACTTGTACAAGAACTGTGTGACCTATTGTCGCTCCCTGAACGATCGGCTTCAGACCTTCTTGCTTGACAAACAGAAACTCATGGACCGCTTCAATAGCCTCACAGCAGAGAAGCTCATCTATGCCCACACTGTGCATATGGTAAGCACATCTTAAAGTGCCAAAGCTTATATCACATCAGATTCTATCATTTCTACATCATCAAGGGATGCTTATCTCAGTCCTTCAAATGTGTGTCCTTACAATATTCAGATTCAATCTGCTGCTTTGGATGAGATGTTCCACCACGGTGCAGCGTCGGTGCAACGCTACAATAAAGCTCTTCTGCTGATGGAGGGTCTGTCCCGAATCCTCACAGAGCAAAAGGACATTGACAGCATTGAAAAATGTGTGTAGACACTAACAAACCAAAATTTATCACGTTGCTACATTAGACGAGTGCATTTCACATGTGATCAACATTTGTTTTACATCTTTTCAGGTAAGAAGTGCATTGAGCGACGCCTTTCAGCTTTGCAGACTTAATGGTATCTATCTCCCCTCAATCTAAACGGTTCATTCAACACACAAGCACTTTGATCCCATGTCGGAGAAATGACCACAAGACTATCTAATGTTACCCTGCCATCCCATCTGTAACAACAGCATCACACCAAAAAAGAGAATGTTTCAGCTTTATGTTCTTAAACACATATTGTGTGAATGATTTTGGGTCAATTGTTATTTTATTGTGCTTCTGTTTTTGTAGATCAGATGAGGAATTTGTTCTTTGGAGTTGACCTTTGTGTGAAATCTTTCTTAATGTCCAGTTGGGTGGGTTTGTGTTTTTTGATGAAATGACCAAATATTGCGAGTGTGTAGCAATATTAGGAAAATGTGCCTATATGTATATAGCAGGCAAAATGAATGTAACTGAAACTAAAAAGTGCTTTGATGTAGAGTAATTGTTTTATGACTGTCCGTCTTAAAGACTCATTTTTGCATTGTGTTACGAAATGCACTAGACGTCTTTTAAAATGAGTTTTGTTTGAACAAATCTACTGTTTACTCAGGTAGCGACGCAGTCATTTATGAGGTTATTGAATGTAAAATTGCTCATGTTTGTGTGCACATTATTTTATATTTGTTGGTGTTGCTTTTTGATGTTTGTTTGGATGAATACACATTTTGACTTACTGGAATAGTTTTTGTCTTTTAAAGGACATAAGATTTTTAACAATTTAGTATTTAGTGAAGATATTTTTGCAGAGGAGTGTTAGAATTTATCCAATTACCTTTTCTATTTAAGAGTGTTTGATAAATTTGCAAAAATTAGTTGTAACACTGTGTGATGAAATTAAATGTCACTTATTATCTGTGATAATAAAGGCCATTTCTTCTTAATTTCTTTGCGCTTTTTGTATTATTTTATATAAATAATTTTATATTCGGTTAAAGTAATATATCCTTAATTCCTGGCAGATTTAACCATAACCTCTCCAACTAAAGAAATTGCGATTATTTTGCCATTTATTGTTGTTGACGTCAGAATGCTATCACATCCGGGTCACAGAAGGTCGCCGCTGCCGCCATATTGCTGAATGAAATTATCCTAGCTTCAAAACATTATAAAGCGGCTAGCGTGAGCACTTGTGAATAGTTCATGTAGTAATTCTCGTTTAAGATTTTGACCTACCGAAAACATGACTTAGACCTCATGAGACTAACACAGAAGGCCCACACGTTGTAAGTAGCAGAGTTTAAATGATTTATGTATTAATTCAACGGCTTCTGGCCTGCTAGCGAAAACAAGCTAACCGCTAGCACGCGTTCCGTAGAAACGGTCGTTTTAAATGCTGAATGACAAGCTTATGTTATTGTAAACATCAAACTATAGCAGCTAGCTGTGTTTTATTTTAAGTACTTAGTTATGTTCTCACCAAAATATTTGTGTGTGCAGTTTTATTTTGGAGTACACTGTTTCATTCCTTATTTTAGCGCTGCAAGACAGCGATACGCCCCAGAGCAGATAGTGATGTCTGCGTTAAGGGTGTATAATGCAATCAAAAAATATTTGCCGGCTGAAGTTGTCCGTTTCCCCAGCTATAAAAAAGCCTTGCCTGATAATTGTGCATTCTCTTTTTGGTATATTTGTAAGAAATGGTATTCGATTCGCATATGTTATAACGGTAATTAAACCCAATGTACATCTACAGTCAAATCATTATCATTTAGTATCATTATCGGTAGTATTATATGCGTTAACGTGCATTGTCTTTGCATGTTTTTTCCCCCGTATTTGGATAATAAGATGCTTTTGTTTTCTACCGTTCTTTCACGATGCAAACGTGTCAAGACGAGTTATAACTCAAACATGATACTAATACTCTTGTTAGACAATTGCAAAGTTTTCTGGAAACCTAAAAGAGGTGCAGTTTACATAATACATAATTTGTATCACATCTTGATTAAAGTCCTGATTTTTGTGTTTATTATTATGTATGGTTTCTGGCAGCCTCTCCTTGACTGCAACTTGGTCATGAATATTTTCTAAAACGCCTTTTAACTAGGACACTTAATTTCTTAAAAGGATTATTCCTTCAGTGTTAAGAGTTGCGTTTAGCACTCTTAACGCTATAATTGAATCAGGTATAATTGAATCACGAGTCAATCATATTAAATACATTAGTAAAATTTTCCAAAGATTTGACTGTTAATTTCAAAAATCATTAAAAGGTTTTTCAAATTACTCTAAGCTCATGTATATCTGTAGCATTTTTATTCATTTATAATTTTTCATTTATATTATTAGTAGCGATGATTAAATAGTAGGTAGTTTAAATGTGATCTTGTTCATGGGATAATGTGGCAGACATGTTTACATCAAAAGAGTAAAGTTTGTATATTTGCTTATTTTGTTGAAAAGCTATTCATACATTTGATTTGAATAGCACTTGAGAATAGGTTCTTGAGATGACAACTCTGCATACAATAATAGAAAATTCAGTGACTGGAACTAATTGAAAAACAATTTCTGGTGAGTGAGGATACATTAAGATATTAGAAAAAAGACGTCTGGGAATCTTTGTTTTTAGTTCCTTAGGTGAAAATAATTTTTGTTGTCTCTTTTCCATAGATTGCGTTCACGCATAGCAACAGTGTCGCGCAATGCACCATGGAAGTGGATCACAGAATATTCAACGACAGCTCCAAAAATCCAAGTCTGTCTCTGGGTCAGAAACCGAGGAGCAGCAGCAGCCGTCTATGGCAGCTACACAACAACAAGCTACAGTTAGCCATCCTCAGTCTCCTGTGACCACCTTTTCCTCTGCTGCCAGCCCTTCAGCCCCTCAGTCACCCAATTATCAGATCATCATGAGTCGGAGCCCAGTCACAGGACAGAACGTGAACATCACATTGCAAAACGTGGGACTGGCTGCTAATCAGCAGATCACTTTAACTCCACTCCCCATCCAGAATCCAGCATCACCTGGGTTCCAGCACAGTGCATCTCAGTGGAGGTTTGAGCATGCTCCATCCTCCTACATTCAGGTCACCTCACCCGTGCCCCAAACCATTCAGCCCCAAAGTCCTACGCAGCATAGCCCCGTCTCTTTACAGGGTGTCACTAGGCCGGGGGCCCCTTCTACAGCATTGGGAGTCCGTGGACAAAGCCCCACACGGTTTGTTGAAGCTAGCATGATAGTGCGACAGATCAGTTTAGGCAGCCAGCCGGGAGGAAGCCACTTTGTTTATCAGGATGGGACGGCACTTGCCCAGCTCGCCCCTCCACCCGGCCAGGTCCAACTTGCATCTGCGGGAGCCCCAGGCTCAGTGAGGGAACGGAGGCTCTCTCAGACTCATTCTCAGACAGGTGGCACCATCCACCATCTTGGCTCTCAAAGTCCTGTTGCCGCCGGTACAACACTCCCCACTCTGAACAGCCCTGGACACATCACCACTTCCAGTCTACCGCCACAGATTAGCAACATCATCCAAGGGAAACTGGGGCGCCCTATCATCTTCGAGAAGACTGCACAAGGTGTGGTTACTGGAGTGGGAACCCCAGCTACAGCGACGTTCAGCATACCTTCCTCCATTCCACCCTCTAGTCCCTCCCTCACGAGTCCTCCGCCAGGGATCAGCAGCAATCCTCTCACACCCACCAGTATGACCACTGCTTCCATTAAGAAGCAGACTCCCAAGAAGCTAGAAGAAATTGCTCCTGCTACTCCTGAGATCGCCCAATTGAGAAAGCAGTGCTTGGAGCACCACACTAAGAAGATGGAAAGCCTGAAGGAAGTGTTTAAAGAGTACATGGTTGAACTGTTCTTTCTGCAGCACCTTCAGGGGAATATCATGGACTATCACGCATTTAAGAAGAAACATTGTCACCCCTTAAATACTTACCTGAGACAGAACGATTTGGATCTTGATGACGAGGACGATGAAGAAGAACAGTCGGAGGTTATTAATGACGAGGTATCATAATGTGCCGTTTATAATTTCAGATTTTTTTTTTGTTAATCTAAGAAATCCCACCATTTTGGTGTGCAAACACAGCCGCCAGCAGCCTTTATGTTCATGCACTTTCTTTAGTTTAAGTCGGATAAACATCTGCAATATTTGTAATCTTATAAATATTTTACTTTCCTTTGGAGTTCAAATAATGGGGTCCCAAAACACATTTTCCCAGTAACACATTTTTCACTGCTTTTCCTTCTTAAGGTGAAGGTTGTTACAGGAAAGGATGGTCAGGCAGGGACACCGGTTGCTATAGCAACGCAGCTCCCTCCCAATGTTTCTGCTGCTTTCTCTACACAGCAGCAGTTTCAGGTGATGGAGGAAATATTTATTTTCAAAACTAGTTACATTGTTTTTCCACAACTTTGTTAAAATTTGCATACATCAGATATAAACAACCTAATTGCTAAAGATGTTATTTTTCAGGTACATCAAGGGGGAGCGTCAGGCACCATTACAAACCCTGGAGACATGGATGCCTTTAAAAGGCAACAGGCTATGGTGCAAACAGGTAGGGCAAGAGTTGCAGCCTCCTGTCTTTCTGATGTTGCTTTGTTTCCCCCCCACCCCCGTTTGCTTTGTTTTTGTTTGTTTTCTTTTCTCCTTCTAATTGCTTCTGCTTTTAGATATTTGGCATCTTCTACTAGCGCTTCTGTGTTGAAGGCTTAAACGGAGGAAGGAGAGGTGACCTGTAAGGTCTTCGGAAGGTCACTGCTCTGTGCCGAGTGCCTTTTTTGCGTTATGAGGGTATTGTGTGTTTTAAATCCCAGATCAGGCTAAGAGGCCCCGGATTGACGTTGGTCGCCATGGGCTGATTTTCCAACATCCTGGTGTAGCTCCTTTAGGATCACCTGGCGTTCCACTTCAGCAGCTAATGCCAACCGCGCAAGGTAGGAATGCCACCACCAGGCCGTTGTGTGTTCTGTTCGATGCTGCTGGACCTAAGCCCTTCCTCAGACTTAAAAAACAAGGGAATCCCAACATTTATCTTCTACAAACAAACCCCAGGCAGCATCATCAAATTGATCTTCATCCATCTGCTGGATTTCTCTGCAGTCTACAGGAAGTTCAGGCTTAGCTGTACCAGCACCAGCTGTCTCTGTCAGGATAAATGGGGAAGAAGACAATCCATTTCTGAAGAAGAGTAGCCACTCAGTGGGAAGATGCCATGTCTTAAGATTTTTTTTCCCTTGTTTCTTTGGGTTTCCTTGTTGATCACCTGATCATAAATCATCTCTTCTTTTTCGAAGTTTGTTCCTGTTTGTCATTTTTGTTTGGACAGACCTTCACATGCTGATGGATTTCCATCTAATTTGGAGATGGATCACAGAAAGTGGCAACGCTGTGGAATTTTTGTTTATCACTTTGCAATGGGGTTTTGCGAGTTTTTCCCCATTGTAAGAATCCACCCGACACTTTTTGGTTTCCCATTGCCATGTTGTCACAAACCCGTCTCCCATCGTCTACATTTGTACCGGATTCCGAATCATCTTTCATCAGCCTTCTGGAGTGTCTTTATCTCATCTTAGTCTTTTGTTGGTTTCCTTCCTTATTATCCTCATGACATTTTGTTCTGACTTGGCTTCTTTCCCCTCAGCCTAAGTAAGAGGGGAATCATTTCGGAGGAGTTTTGTTCACGGCGCAGGTTTTTGCGATTGTGGTGATGTGGGTGTGTCAGGGCCGGGTTTTGATGGCGTCTAGGCAAGGTGATGTCACGTGCAGGGAGGTAAGGCAGGTGCTGCTTTAGTGTGCACAGCTCTGCTCAGGCCTGCTGTCTGCAAAACCCCATGTGTGTCCTTTTTGCTCACCTTTGTGCTTTGTCTTTGTGTGAGGCATCCAGATGCCTTGGTTTCTGCACTTACATCGCTTCATGCATGCTAAACATATGCTGTCCTTGTGAATGTCTGCTCTCCTTATTTTATTTCCCCTCTCTTTTTGCTGTCTTTATGTTTTAGAAGTTCTTTTCATGTTTATTTTGAGCTTTGTTTTGTCTCTATAAACCTCTTATTGCATGTACAGTTTTATTTCTGTTTTTTAACCACATTCTCTCCGCATTTGAAATGCAGTGTTTTGGTTTTGCATTTATCAAAGTAGTGTTTCATTTGAGAGACATGTAGATTTTCATATTGGTTTCATTCTTCTGTAATCATTTTGCTGTATGAGTTTCATTAGTTCTGCTCTGATCATCAGGCAGTAGTTACTCTACTGTTAATGAATACGTTTAGTTCATTAAGCAGAGGTTTAAAGAGCTCTGAATTCTAAAGTGCACACAGCCATTTAAAGGTAAACGTATAATTGCACCACGTGTCACTAGATTCAAATTATTTAACTTTGATTTAAGGGTCTCTCAAATAATTTTAAAGGGAAAACTATTTAAAAACTTTATTTTAGTTGTTTTACTTTCAGGAGGAAAAACGTGAAAAACTAAAATGTGAACATTTCCTTTTTGGCTTATTTTAAACTTTTTTTCTATTTTGCTCTCTTTACTACTCCTTTGTTCTATACTTTGGTTGCCATGTATCCAGGCGGTATGCCACCTACTCCTCAAGCAGTCCAACTCGCAGGACAAAAGCAGAACCAGCAGCAGTACGACCCATCCAAAGGACCGCCGGTCCAGAACGCAGCCAGCCTGCACACCCCTCCTCCTCAGCTACCCAGCAGGCTGCCGCAAGGCGCCCTACCGATGGCAAGCATACCCCTGGCTCTCTCTCAGCAGGCTCAGTTAGTGGAGAATTCGACTCATGCTGGTGTGCAAGTCCACGTGCAGGCGGGCGGGGCTGTGCTGGCTGCCATGAACCCCCACACACAGCTTCAGTCCCAGCTGCAGCAGATGCAACCAGGTGTTCATATTCAGCTGCAGTCCCAGCAACAACAATCCCAGACAAATCTGCAACCAGGACAAGCGGTCAGTATGTGTGAAGGATAAAATTTGATGTGTATGATTCTGGATCAATTAACAAACATCAGACCTTGCATGGTTTACACTTGTGTCATAATTTACTTTATTTACTTACATTTTGTTTGACAAATTCAGTTGTAATATACTGCCAGCAAGTTTCTCTAGCTAATAATATTTTGAAAATTTTCATATTCTTCTTTCCGTAGACTGTGGCACTTGCTCGTCCCGGTACTGATCTGAACCAGCCTGTTCAGAGGATTATGACCAACTCTGTATCAGTAACATCTGTGGTTCCTGCTCCCACTTCTGCTGCCAATTCGAATCCACACACAGCAGGTTCTCTTCGTCCTCTCGGCTCTATCGTCAACCCAGGAACCCCGTCTAAGCTGACAGGAACAAACGGAATTTCTTCTGTCAAAATAGGCGGCTTCAGCCAAAACACGACCGCTCAGACCCCACAAGAAGGCTCCCAGGACAGGCCAGCTGAGCAGGCCAAACTGGTGAGTTACAGAAAGTTGTAGCATCATGAAGTCTTTCATATTGTTTGAACCAATACTTTCATTATATCCTGTGTTTTATGCCAGTTTTTTAATCAGTCTTACTGGGAGTACTTTTTTAAATATTTTTAAGAATATCGAGCAAGTAATTGTGAAGCAGGACGGTGTGTTAGAAAACTTCTATTTCCATTCATTCTCAAAACAAATAAAAAAATAACCAAAAAAAAACCCAGCTGTTCAGCAAATGTCTTCCTCCAGTCATTTTTGGACTGGATGAAATGGTTCTGATCCTGACTTTTAACCTGTGCTTTTTGTATTTCAGGAGAGCCAGGTACACCAGCGCATTTCCGAGCTAAGGAAGGAGGGTCAGTGGTCAGCCAGCAGGCTTCCTAAGCTTATGGAAGCTTCACGTCCAAAGTCCCACTGGGATTACCTCCTGGAGGAGATGCAGTGGATGGCAGCGGACTTTGCTCAGGAGAGAAGGTGGAAGGAAGCCGCTGCAAAGAAGGTTTGACACCGAGCAAAATGTGAAACTATGAATAAATGAATTCCGCTACAGAAAATGCCTCTTTGAGCTTGTCTTTGCTGGCTCTGTTCTAGCTTGTTCGTACATGTGCTCGTTACCATCAAGAACAGAAGAAGAATGAAGAAAGGTCACAGAAACAAAGGGAAGTTCATCTTCGTCATATTGCCAGTACGATTGCCCGAGAGGTGGAGTTCTTCTGGTCAAACATTGAGCAGGTAGGTGTTTATTTACTTATGTATTGCTCTTATTTGTGAATACTTTTGATACCAGTCTAAATAAAAGATTTTCCTTCTTAAGGTGGTAGAAATCAAGCTCCAGTTTCAAATCAATGAGAAGAGGCTTAAAGCTCTTGGCCAACAAAAAGCAACAGGTACAAACCACTTAAACACTGGTAGTAAAATAATTTCATAGTTTTGTTGTGCACTTTCTTTATTATATACACTGTGCTTCTCCTTTTCTCCTGGTCAAGCAACAGCAGAAAAAGTCGATAAAACGGTAGGTGCTGTTTTAATGAGAACATTGTAGGTTTCATCTTAGATAAACTTTGTGTGATAAAAGAAAATCTGTATGTATTCATGGTTTCCTTTTTCATTTTATAGGAGGCGACTAACACTGGTAGAAAGAGAAAATCAAGTTTTTCGTTGGAAGAGGGTTAGTTTTCAGTGTTACCTAAAGAATAAAATAAAAGCAGAACAACCATAAATAATTCACAATCTGTCTGGGTTTTAGCCACTGATGAAGAAAGCACCATAGAGGAACAGGAAGTCATTGAAGGAGAAACAGACCACAAAGCAGAATTGATCGACCTTGCAAAAGATGGTACGTAATTATAATTTCTCATTAAACATTTTTTGCCGCGCTGTTTGCGTTAATATATGATTTTGGGATAAAATAATCTTGGTAACATGTTATTAATACTAATAATTTTACTTTTGCTTTATTAGTTCAGTAAAATCTCATTACTAATTATGAAATAAACAAGACTTTTTAAAAATCTAAAACAAAAAGAATTTCTTATTTAAATGTGAATTAAACAAAAGCAAAGTTTTAAATCATTTTTCAGATTTTAGACTTTTGCTGCACATTTACTTTAATAATAATAATTATTACTTTAATAATTTGCTACACATTAATATTGAATAATAAAAGAAAATATTATTTTGTTTTACCAGTGGTATCTATGTGTCTGAGCCACACAGGTGTTTCAGATCTATTTATCAGATTCCTCTCTTTCTCATCAGATGTCTCAGAATTTAGAGTCCTCCAGGAAACACAATTTCCTGCTTTTTTTTTCCTCCTGATTTTGTCTGTTCGGGTTCTTTTTTATTCCAGGCTAATAGTAATATTACCTAATATAATGATATTTTTCGACAGTAGGCTACAAGCGATTCTTGCTTGTGCTGTAGTCCAGTTAGGTTTAAAGTAACAGACTTATTAAGCAAACATTTTAATGCCTACACTCCCTGCTGGTCTAAAACCAAGGGAATAGCCTGCATGCTAATGATAAAAAGCAAATACTTGCACTGTATTATCCACTCTAATGTTTTTCATGTGATACATGTGTTAGCCAATTGATATTGTTTGTTAATTTTATTCTTTTTCTTTTTTTTAAAGCTGAGATGTCTCTGGATGCTTTAAAGAAACAGTATGCCGGTGCTTATGCTGATGACTTTGAGTGGCCTCAGCCTAGTTCTTGCTCCGAAGAGGATGATGTGGAGGAGACTGAAGGTGCCTTTTTTATATTTAAATTGGGGTTTTCAGTCACTTTCTTTCATTCTTATTGCTGAGTGGTGTCCCTTTTTACCATTCTATGTCCATTCTTTTTACAGAAATGGAATGTGTTCCAAGCAGTCCACCGGAAGCGGTGGTAATCGACTCTCTGCTTAGCATGGACCAACAACGCAGCGCAGATAAATCTACGTCAAATTCAAACGGGAAGGCTGGTAGAGACATTGCTGAAGTGGCAGCTGCTACAGAGCTCCTCCTGCCCAAGGGCAGCCTCAGAATCACGACGTCTGTAAGAAAAAGGAAATACCTCACTCAAAAAAAAAAAAGTTTCTATTACTTTAAACTGATATTACTATTCCATCTCACTAGGCCCACAGTCCAGCACCTGCTCTGTTGCATGGGTTGTTGAGAGAATATCAGCAGATTGGAGTGGACTGGCTGGTAAGCCTTCATAAGAAACGGCTCAATGGCATCTTGGCTGATGAGACGGGCCTTGGCAAGACTGTGCAGACGGTGGCTTACTTGGCCCACCTAGCTGGTCAAGAGGGTATGTGGCACTTTAAAGTTGAAGTAGTTCTTCTTTGTTATTTTGCATTTTAAACACTGCTTTTCTCCACAGGCATTTGGGGACCCCATCTGATTGTAGTGAGAACTTGCAAGTTGCTGAGTTGGGAGCTGGAGTTCAAGCGCTGGTGTCCTGGTCTTAAGATCCTCCTTTACCAGGGTAAAAGAAGGGAGCGCAGATACAAAAGAATGGTGAGACTTTTTGAATTTCAAACCCTCATAGTTGATATTGTTCATTATTTAAAAAAAAGGTGTCACCTTCACCAGTGGCTGTTCATATAGTTGCATGTAATTTGATTAATTCCAGTTATGGGAGGACTCCAACAGCTTTCATGTGTGTGTGACGTCATACAAGCTGCTGATGAAAGACCAGAGACATTTTCTGAAGAAAAGATGGAGACATCTGGTTCTAGATGAGGTGCAACTCATCAAAAACATGACAGAAAAGCAGTGGGAAACTATCTTTTCTCTCAGAAGGTACTAGCTGTGTTCAAATTGTCTCTGTTAAATTATATTCACAGGATATTTTCACATATCACTGACATATTTCTGTGACTCTCAGTGAGCAAAGGATACTTCTTATCCACACTCCACTTCAAAATACGCTGAAGGAGTTTTGGACCATGATCCACTTCCTGCTGCCAGGAATTACCAGGCCATACTCGGACTTTCCTATCAAGGGTGACTCAGACGAGAACCAGGACTACTGCCACAAATTGGTTATTCGTCTGCATAGGGTGTGTGATGTCCCTGCCTATTCCTCCGATTGTAAAACTGTCAAATTGGATTATGATCTGTATTCCATAAGTACATATTACTAATGACAATCTTTTTTGTGTTACTCTGAAGATGATCCAGCCATTCATCTTGAGGCGCTCTAAAAGGGATGTTGAGAAACAGCTTCCCAAGAAGTACGAGCACATTCTGAAGTGCCGTCTCTCAAATAGACAGAAAACCCTCTATGAGGACATCCTTACACAGCCTGGGTGAGATATGTGACTGTCAGCTCCTGCAGAATAGTGGCAGCACAAGTTGGCAAACACATAGTAGAACTACTGCTGCTGCTTGTCGCACAAACTTTCTCTCAGTCCAAAACTTCTGACAATGGCTGCTAAAAAGCTTGATAGAGGAATGTTGGGATTATTTGCTGATGGAAAGTCAAAATCAAATTTCCTTTTAAGTTATGTTTCACATGTACAGCATTTTAGAACAACTTCAAGGTCACATCGTTACTTGATTACCCTAGATATTGGCTCTACGTTTCTGGAAAATACGTAATACCCTCCCCTTAATGATCGAAAGTATCCAGCTCTACATCTTCTGAATTTTGATTTCTGGAGAGGTTTTTTTCTAGTCTTGTTCTGTGTGTTCCTCCAGGACACAAGAAGCACTGAAGTCGGGTCATTTTGTCAGTGTGCTTCAAGTTTTGATGCAATTGCAGCGAGTGTGTAACCACCCTGAGTTGGTGGTGCCCAGAGAAAGCAGCAGCGCCTACTTCTCCTCTTCTCTTCAGTACAACGTGCCATCACTGGTTCTGGGAGCTATTGAGGAAGATGCAAGCCAGGTATGCCCTCATGTCGCTTTTGATCCTCTAAAAGTTCTTATTTGACAATTATAAAAGTTATTTGTTATCAAACTGTGAAAATGACTCATTCAGTGTAAACACATTAGGCTTAATTAATTACCTGTCGTGTTGTTTTCTATTTTCCTTTTCTAATGGTTGAGTTTTACTCTGTAAAAATCATTTTTAATCAGTTCAACATGTTGACCTTTCACATCTCAATCTGCCTTGTCACTGTCATCCTAGACTGCAAACCTGTCCTTGTTCAATCTGATCAACAACGAGAACAGACTGACTCGTTACCAGACAGAAGAAGCGATACCTAAGCTAAGGGTCACTCAGCAGCTCATAGAGGAAATCTACACGGCTCCTCAGCCACCACCGAGACCCAAACCATGTCCGATAAAACCCATGAGGTCCGACTTAAACTTTTCGACTTTAACATGATAGTATCATAAAAAGTGGTGATCTTATTGCTATATAGTTGCTGGTTTGCACTTTTCAGGTTGTTCCAGCCAGTGCAGTATGGTACAAAGCCAGAAGGTCGATTGGCTGCCATTGGGAATGCAGCGGGTCAGCGGCCCCCAACAAGCTCTCTGTCAACTGGCACCTTAGTTTCCACTGTCAGCCAGTCTGGCCAGGTTCGAGGCAAGTCCCCTGTTACTGCCCCAACAGCACCACCAACTTCTCATGGTAAGATTTTTTTATTTATGGAAAGCATTTGTCAAATGAGAGAAATTCCGGCGGCTTGAGGACCCCTGGTTATCAGTACATGTTTTAATTGGAATACATCTCTGTCCTTATGATTGTTTGGTCATTGCTTTTATCCCCATTTGCTAATAAAACTTTCTCTGCTTGTCATGTGTGCATTATGCATGATTGACACGCTGTTTAAAATTCAAATTACTCTGATTATTATGCCATGCATTAAAACTTACACCATGCAGATATTGTCATACATGAATGTGTACCCAATGGTATTCATTTACATAGTTTGTTACATGTTGGAAAGATCAAGGTTACTGTTGGTCGGTATGGATTATAAGTTATTAAAAGGATAGTTCAGAGTTTTTAAGCAGGATTTTGGCAGAAGGTAAAAGCAGTTTATGTCCTTCCTGCTACAGATAATTCTCTGCATCTTCATTAAGATTAAATTCAGCTTAGTGGGTCTTTGAGGCTCAAGCAAAAACTAATTCAGGACTGGCCAAGACCAATGTTGGCTTATATCATCTAAAAATTGGGGGGGAAAAGCATAAATGTAATTGGAACCAGCACCTCCTGATCCCACCCACACTAGGGTGTAAAAAAATGGATGGATGGATGAATAAATGAAGTCAACTGTTTATGTTGACACTATTTTATGAACTTTAAAAAAACAAACAAACAATGATTTCTTACATAGGAATAATTGTGGGTAACATGTAAAGCATTTTCTGGTACCAGTCCCCTTAACTTCAGTGTTTGGGCCCAACCAGTCTGAATCTTTATTAAATAAAGATGTCCAGAAAGTTATCTGCTGCAGGTAAATTATTAATTGCTGTCCTTTTCACAGAGACTTACTGTGTTTAAACCTTAACTTTCTTGCAGCAGTGGTGGGTGGACAATATACATAATTTTTTTTTTTTTTTCCCGATACCTCCAAAATCTTTATGGCTCTTATTCGGCTTGCAAAACTAACTGAAAAATTGACAGATTTGATCTGCATGCATTTCCTAAAACAGAAAAAGAAAAATATATTTTTTAAAATATCATGATGTAGGATGTTATTTATTGTGCCACTGGGGGAATTTGTTTTGAAACTGCTCCACTCAACAGATGGACAAACAAATATGAATGTGTCTGTTTTGTCTGGCATCATAATGCTGTACAATAAATGTGTGTAAATATTTTTTAAAAATGCTAAAATTTGCTTCCACTTCCCGTCAGAAACATCTTTTGTACTACTTCCTGTGTTGGCTCACCACTGCTGTATGTATAGATAAGAACAAAACACTTTGATCTCAATGATTTGACTAAATATCGGGTTAGCCCTAACATGGACTCCCACACCCCACTGCCTTGTATTTCGCAGCCGTTGGAACAGCTACTCAGAGACCCCAGGCTACTCCTACTGTCAGCAGCAGCAACAACAACACTGCATCTTCCTCCATTGCCTCCTCTGGGAACAGTGGCAACGGGCAGCATGTTTTGGGAGCTACTCCGTTGGCCTTGGGTCAGACCTTAGCTGGAACAGTCGTAGGCTCGATGACTTCCATCAGCCAGGCTGGAGTAACCCAGGTTCCAAGGCCAGGTTTAGCCCCCAGCCATGCCATCCAGCCCAGTCTTTTGTCCCAGAGGTTGGTTCTTACATCTCAGGCCCAGGCACGGTTGCCTAGTAAGTGGCCTGCCCTCCCCTATCATCTCTGTATTCCCGCCCCCTTCCCACCTCCAGCACAAACGTTTTGGCTGCTGTCCACCAAGGCCTTCACTTGAGGCACTGCTGATATATGTTCAGTCCAGAGAATGTGGCTCTGTGTAAGCATGGCGGCAGCAGCGCCGCTGTTGCAGAAATTCCTCTCAGATGTCGTACATCAGCAGGCCGATGGAAGAGACGCGTCTCTGTAGACCTGCAGCCATATCAGCAGCATCTCATTGTCTTGGCAATACCCAGTTTCTTATCTTCACACCTGCATGTACGCTGCATATGACCCTCTTGCTGTATGTCACACCTGGTGTCACTGTGCTACTTGATTTTAAAAGATCATTTTAGGAGCTTATACTTTTTCTTAAATTGTTGACAGGCTCAAAAATCTTTGCATTGGGACTCCTACTGAGAAAGAATACTGACTGGAGAAAAAATGGGAACATTTTATGACACACTGAGCATAGAGGTGAAGTTCTGAAATTTGAAACTGGTATGATGCCTTTATGATGGTATGATGGATTTATAAGGTTATGAGAATGTTTAGCAAAGTTTTGTGGAAAAATTCAAGACTTGTAAAGTGAGGCCTTTGCAGAAATAGACAATATATTGTCATTAATATTCCAAAGGACATCATTGGAAAGAGTAGATGCCCAAACCTGACACAAATAAAAAGTCACACACGGACTTTAAAGGATCATAATGGATAATGATGACCACTGAAGAAAATGCATTTATGGCAACAGATGTCATTATTGCAATATTTAATAAGTACATCACCATCATATAATATTTTAATGTCAAGCTGCCCCAGTGAAGAGTAGACTAGGAATATATAGAAAGAAATATACTTAAGATAAAAATTAAACAATAAAATCTCAAAACAATTTTTTTAATCTTAAAAAAATCTTACATTCTTGCAAAATTAAGTACAAATGGCCAGAAAATTAGTGCAAGGCTTTTAATAACTGTCTTGGAGGTTGTTTTTTGTTTGTTTTTTCCATACACAATTTTCTGTTCAGTGTTCTTACTCAGTATGAGTCCAATTATATCTGTGAACCCTCCCATCAACATTTTACATCCCGATTACAGGAAAAATAAATATGATTCAACTAAAAAAGTCCAGGAAACACCTCATTCCTTTTATGTTGTCCTTTCCTTTTTAATATTTTACACCCCAGTTCATTTACTAATATATCTTTGTGTATTGCATCAACTAAGCTATTAGGAAATGACCCAAAGCTATCTCTATTTTATTTTCTCTCCTCTTTTGTCTAATTTTGAATGTCAAAGCAGAGCATGCGTAAGCATCTCTGCAGATTATCCAACGCTTTAAATTGTCAACTTTTTCAGTGACACACAGTATTTGTATATGTGATAACTGTTTGATTGCTGTTAATATAATCTTCAGGTTTTCAATTATTTTGCTTCCAAGTGAATATATCTGCCTGGAGAACAACAAAAACATTTCAGTGCATTTTTACTCCAGGGTCCCTTTTCAGACGGATTCTATTTACCTCTAAGAGTGAAGAATTTACAGTTTATTTGTTTTTTTTTTGTTTGTTTTGCAAAACATAGAATAGCTTAAAAATTGCATGTATGGAAAGGGAAGGTTTTATCTGGTTTTAAAATAAATAAAAAATTGATTTTTCTCATTTTTATTGAACTAGTTAGAGTACAACTTCTGAGATTTATTTTTGTTTTTTGTTGTAACTGCATAATTATACCAATTAAATGTGGTAACATTAGTGAAAATATCCATGTACATCATATTCAGTAGTTAGTGAGATATTTTTTTCTTTTACTGTAGTTTGTGCTGAGGTGTGTGTTGTCTTGAAAAAGTGTTTTGTTTGTTATATTTTGAACTTTCTCCCTTTATGTCTTTATTACAAGCTGCTTTGTTGTTGAGAGGAGATGTGCTTTTTCCATCTGATTAATTCACATTAGTTCTGCATGTCTTGCCTCCTTTTCACCTTACAACTAACTAAATACATTGTTTTATATTTCTGAACATAGATGTGAAATATTTTCATTATCATTATTACTATTACCATCTATTTTTTACTGTTTGTTCTTTTCTTTCCAATGAAGGTGGAGATGTGGTGAAAATTGCCCAGCTGGCCAACATGGCAGGAAGTCAGAACCGCATCTCGCAGCCAGAGACTCCGGTCACCCTGCAGTTTCAGGGGAACAAGTTCACTCTGTCCCACAGCCAGCTCCGCCAACTCACCACTGGACAGCCTTTGCAGCTCCAAGGTACACTCGGTAATGTACATCCCATTGTCATATTTTATCTTTCCATCATTTTCTTTGCTTTCACCTTTAAAAGTCTGTGTTTACCATTTCCATTTATTGTGTTGTTTTTTTGTGTGTTTTTTTTTTACCATACAAATGAGTATACATGAGTAATTAACCTTAATAGTTATCTTAAATGCTGTTAAACTTGTGCTTCAATATTTCTGTTTTGTATTCAGTTAGCTTTGGCTATCTGACCAACTATTCAGTTAGTTGTGGCTAAAAATGTAGCTGAAAGTTTTTCTCTCCTGTTGGTTTGAGGGCACTTTTTAATTGCCTCCATGTTTGTGGTTGTTTTAGGCAACATCCTGCAGATTGTGTCCGCTCCAGGGCAGCCGATTATACGACCCCCGGGCTCCATGGTGATGCAAACGATGCCTCAAACCGTTCCTGCCTCTAGCCCTGCAGCGACACCTGGAACCCCTCATCCTGCCCTCTCAATGGCTCAGCAAGGTGACTTTTTTTCTGCTGATTGTTTCGACATTCCTGTGGAATGAAAGGTGCTATGTTCTCCCAAACATTTCGTTTATTAATACTGAATGTGTGACATTGTTTCTTTCATTAGCATTGGGCGCGACTTCAAATGCAACATCATCTACATCCAAGCTTACAACTGCAGGTCATGGGGCTTCACTGGTGAGTATGTTGAAGTTATGTCACATATGACTAAAAAGATCTGAAGCCCAGATAAATGATGCTGTCAAACTATAGAAGTGGATTTTATTCAAAATAAAATTTGGTTTGTTTCAATGACATAAACATTGACAGGAGTATTGGAATGCTTCTGTTTTCTTTCCTGCAGATTGGAAACATGTTTAATGTAATCACAATTATTTGTTCCTTCTTTACATCAATAAATTCTTTATTTCTGTTCTTTTATATGAAATGGAACATGAATCTGGATAAAACTCTGTTTGCTTGTAGAGAGTAACACGTTAGTTTCCCCTAACGTGTTGAGTTAGTTTATTGATAAGATTAGCTTACTTGCAAATAAGTAAGCTGTTGTCAGAAAATAAAAAACTATTTATTATGATGTTAATGTTTTTTTTAAAATATCCCACTTCGATCTTTAGGAGGCATCGGAGGAAAAGTCTCAGCAGCTGAAGGAGCGCTTGAGCCGCCTGTTTGAAGCAAATGAACAGCGCTGTAACCGCAGAGTGCTGTATGGGTCCGACCTGCTGCAGGCATGCACTTTGAGTCCAGAATCTGCTCACACCGCCCTGACTGCTGGGGGCTGGAGGTGGGTGGGCAGAGAAAGCTGCTCTAGAGCTCAGAGAACCTGTGTGGGTACCACGTCCGTGCTGCAGTCTGCTTTGCTGACCGTGGAGAACCATCATGAAGCTGCTGGAAGCCTGATCAAGAGGTATTTCCACTTTTGTTAAAACTTGTTCCTAATTTTTTGTCTGTTGCTAATTAACTTTATTGATTTTTTTTCTGTCACACATCAGTTCTGAGTATTATTGTTACTATTTCATGCTTGTTATTTTGTAGGTTGACATGTGTGGTGCCCGCAGCTGTAGCTCCGCCTCCTCATCTGTATGCGGCAGATCCTTCAGTTTCCTACAGGCTTCAGCAGAAATCCTTTCAGCAGCAGCTGCTGGAGGCCTCTGAGCCTCACAGTGCAGACATTCACCATTTAGCCTCCAGACATTTCTTGGCCCGTCCTGACTTACAGTTAATGCAGATGGACTCGGGTAAGTCTGCTCACACGTCTCAGTGTTCCTCTCTCTAAATAAACAGGGTCGCTTTCGAATTACAAAACCGTCTTTCAAGTTGCTTAGAGCGTGTATTTAACTATGCACTTGACAACTGAATTAAGAGGAGCATTAATTAATGTATTTTTCTTTGCAAAGGTAAACTGGAAGCTCTTGCCATTCTGCTGCAGAAGCTTAGGTCAGAGAGTCGACGTGTCCTCATCTTTACTCAGATGTTTAAGATGCTGGACATCTTGGAGGCCTTCCTGGATCACAGGCAACTCAAATATGTGCGCATTGATGAAAGCCTCACATATGAAGAAACACAGGTAAACCATCTCAAACCATTCAACTAAATAAAAGAATGAATTTGTTTCCAGTAGATGTTTTTTCCTTACCACTGACATGTGATGAATATCTTTTTGGATTGGCGTCAGAGATGAGAAAACTTATTTCTTTTGTTTGATTGTCATTCACAGATTTCTCTCTACAGGCTATGTTTTATTTTAAAAAAAAAACATTTCTGACCTTTCAAAATGGAAAAAGTTGTGTTGCTGGTAGCTTTTTCTCAGCCACTTACCTTCGTTGTTTGTGTGTTTCCACAGGAAAATATGAGGACGTTTAACACCAACAAGCAGGTGTTCTGCAGCATCCTGACCAACTGCTGCTGCTCTGAGGTCGGAACCATTGTTGATGCAGATACAATCATTTTCTACGACACGGATCTCAACCCAAGCATGGACGTCCGCACTCAAGAATGGTGTGAAAAAGTGGGGCGTTCCAAGGATATTCACATATACAGGTAATTTTTCAAATACATCTGTTTATGATGCTTTTCTATTTGCTGAAGTAAAGACCTCTTCACTTCAACAATGCTGCATAGTTAAATGCTGAAATATGCAGCATTTAGGGATTCTGTTGGTTTTGTAATGGCTGCTTTCCTGCTTTGTTTTGATCAGGCTGGAGAGTGGCAACTCAATTGAAGAGAAGCTGTTAAAAAATGGGACCAAGGAGCTTATAAGAGAAGTAGTTGCACAGGGCACTGACTACAGTTTGGCTTTCCTCACACAGGTAAGACAAACCTTCAGCTTCAAATTTTATAGTCTGTGGTTAAGAATTGAATGCAAAGTGCAATTTGTGATTAACAGCGTTTAAATTAAACAACTGACCTGATTCTGTGTCTGTAGTCGACAATCCAAGACCTGCTGGAAGTAGAAGCAACTTCAGGGGTGAAGGTGGAGGAGTTTGTGGTGCTTCATCAGGAGCCTTCGGCCTCTGAATCTATTTCTCCCAAAGTAGCAAGACCCTACATCCAGGCTCTGCACAGTATAAATCTGGATGTCCAATCAGAGGAGGGAGAGCCCCAAGAGGAGGAGCTGGGAGTGAGATCACCATTAGAGTCAGAGATCCAAACTGAAGAAGAACCTGGCCTGCTAGAGGAGTTGAACGCAGTCATGGAACAGGTAGTTTTACAGTCTTCAATGTTTCTTTGGGAGCTCGATTCAGCTCTGTGAAATAAAACTGTCTAAAATGCAATTGCCTTTCTCACATTTTTTAAAATTCTATCCAACTGTCAGCTTACTCCTATTGAAAGATACGCTCTGCATTACTTGGAGTACCTCCACATCGGTGATGACGAAGCTGCTCTAAAGGTATGAGACATGTTCTGTTGATTTAGTTCACCTAGTTCAGACACCTTTTCTATGTTTGACGTTGTTCATGTCCTCTAGGAGAGGTTGGAGTGTGCAAAGAGAGGCTGGGAGCTACAGCAACTACAGAAACTGAAAGAGGAGGAAGAGGAGGAAAAATGCCAGCTGATGGAGGGAGAGGAAGACCTCTTCACCTATACCAGAGAAGATGCATACAACATGGTGTGTGGATATTATCAGATAAACAAGAAGTGTTGCACTACATGGAGACTCAAATCTTTTCTGTGTGTTTAACAGGAATATGTGTTTGATGCAGAGGATGGGCATACAGAAATTATGCCGGTAAGACACTAGATGTTCTGGAATATAAGTCACTGCTGCTATGTCGAAACAGGATTTCCACACATTCTGGAAAAGTATAAAATAGGAATTGGAAAAAAAATTAAGCAACAAAATTGTTGGGAAACTATTTGTTGTTTTCAACTTAGTTCGGTATTCTGTTGGCTAAAACCTATACCCCTCTAAACATCTTAACATTTGTCCTTCATCCATTCTTATGGTTCAGTTTTTACAGAGTTTGTTTTTAACCTGTACAGAAACATCAGCAGTAAATCCTTAGTGAACTTCCATATTTGCACTTCAGACAGAAACCTCGGCTGCTCTAACTTTTAAATAATAAAGTTTTTACATGACACCCTCTGAGAATTGCATCATATGCAGATATTGCACACAATTCCGCTTATTTTTGCATTCGTAGAATAGAAAATGCCACAAATGTCCCGCAAAGGGGAAATTCGGGTGCAATAGCTGTATCAGGTATAAGTTCATACAAAACAGTCACTGAAGTATTAAAAACAACATGTAAGGAACAACATTAACAATACCAATAATAATAGGAATAATTATAATGTACTGTATTTCAGAAATACTTTGCAGTTTTTAGAAATAAAAATGGCAAACAAGGGATGTGCAATAGAATGCTATAGAGTCAGATAACTCTTCCAAAAATTAATATAATGTGCATTAAACATTAAATAACTTATTACAACGCATCATATCAGTGCAGAAAAAATCCCTCTCTCCATTTATTTTGTGAGTATTGTAGTACAAAATGACCTTCTGCCTTGCTATTGCCTCTCTGTCATCCTTCAACATAGGTTTGGACTCCGCCCACGCCACCACAGGATGACAATGACATTTACATCGATTCGGTCATGATGCTGATGTATGACACCACACCTGTGCCGGAGTCCAAGCTGCCTCCTATCTACATCCGCAAGGAGCACAAGAGGCTCAAGATGGATCCCTCAGGTAAAGGAGGTGTCAGCGAGGATGCTAGGTGGAATTGTTCCACTTCATCTCAGCTGTACCCGTTTTGTCTTGCAGCAGCCAGAAAGAAGAAGAAGGGTCACGGGGAGACGGTCATTCCTCCACGCTCCCTCTTCGAAAAGGCCAGCATGCTCAAAGTTCGGCGTGAAGGCAAAGACCAGAAAAAGAACTTTTCCATCAAACAGCCTCCATTTGCCAAACCGCTGCCGTCACTGGCTAAACCTGCCATGGAGGCTGGTCAGGATAACCCAGAGTGGCTCATCAGTGAGGACTGGGCTCTGCTTCAGGTAACAGCTACACTCAAACCTCCCATATCTGCTTCTCATTTGAAAGAAAAAAAAAAAAAACTTTTTATGGCGCTGATGAAATTTCCTGCTACTGTTCTTCAGGCTGTGAAACAGCTGCTGGAGCTGCCTTTGAATTTGACAATCGTGTCTCCTGCCCACACACCTAACTGGGATCTGGTGAGCGACGTGGTGAACTCCTGCAGCCGTATCTACCGCTCACCCAAACAGTGTCGCAACCGCTACGAGAACGTCATCATTCCTAGAGAGGAGGGCAAGGTACTGAACGCACTTTAAAACTAGACTGTCACCCGACTTTAAAACTAGACTGCCCACATTTGCTGATGGCTTTCTCTAATTTTCCAGTTGGTGTATGAGCCCAACCCGAAGAAGAAATCCAAGAGCATATATAAGGTATGCTCTTTCTTTTGAATTTGGGGCGAATAAGCATTTATTGTTTCACTTGAGTTAATATTTGTCCTTTTCGCATTCGTTCAGTCTAAGAACAGCCGTCCTTTGCGGACCTGCCAGATCTACTCCCAGGATGACAACAGCTCACAGATTCAGCTGTACAGCAGTCGCTTTGAACTCATGAAAATAATCGCCAGTAAGAGGAGCCCACCTATCAAACCGCTGTAAGTGTTCAGTGATTAGACTGCTGCTCCTGCTGTTATTCTATCACTTGGCATACAAATCTAAACTGTATTTTATAAAATATAGGGTTCAATTCACATGTATTGAATTAATTTTAAATCTCTATCTACGATTGGAATTATTTATTTATTTTTGTGTATGAACTGGACCTATTTGTTTTGCAAATATCTTTAATATTAGCAATTTTTAAAGGAATTCATTTAAGAGAAGATTTTATCCTCAAATTGATTAAAAGGCACTTATATTCAGTGCACTGTAGTCTTGTAAAGTAGAATGAATTATTGGTGGTTTTGTAGCTCTTCATATTGAAATGTATTTATAGTTTTATTCATATTGTTCAAAGGCTTGGAATGAATCCCTTCCAGAAGAATCCCAAACACGCGTCGGTCTTAGCAGAGAGGTATGTTTAATATTTCTGCTCTTAGAATATTTTTAAATGAATATACAAAAGTTCCAATCCACACTTATTTTCTCTTTCAGTGGGATTAGTTACGATAAGCCCCTGCCTCCCATTCAGGTGGCCTCTCAGCGGGCTGAAAGGATTGCCAAAGAGAAAAAGGTGAATATCAACCGATTGATTATTTATTTCTAAGCATTTTCATTTTGGGACACATCAAGATCAGGACTGTCCTCAAAGGGCTGGTTTTTCATATTATTTATAGCTAGAATCAGCTAATACTATTCTGTAGTCTTGGATTTAGCTATTGCCTACTTTATTAGTCACTAATAGAAGAAAGAATTGGTTTACATTTGTTCACCGATTTTCTTGACCTCCACACTGCTCTCATATGAGTATTGCATCGTCAAGCTTCTGTGTATTTATTTATTTTTTTAGATGTTTGCAGCTGGTTTAGTTTTTTTGTGCGTTTGCAGGCCCTTGCAGAGCAGCAGAAAGCCCAGCAGTTGGCCCAGCAACAAGCTGGAGCTCCCCAGACTCAGGCTGCGGCCGGTCAGGCCCAGACTCCTGCTGTCGGCCAAGCTCAGGTTCCACAGGCTGCTGGGGTAACTGGAGCTACTGCTGTGCCCAATGCAGCTGTACTGGTGAGGAATATGAATTATTATACAAATGATCCTATTCCTAGCCAAAGTTTCACACCATTATGTTTCCTGTTTTCTAGGCCGGGGCGATTAAAAACGCCACTGTGGGCACCACCATTCAGGCCGGTATGTTGACACACACATGCTTCTTATTACAGTGCAGTTGTTGTTGTTGTTTCTGAAGTGAATTAATTTCTCTGTGTTTCTCCAAGCAACTGTAGGAGGGAATGTGATTGTGAACACAGGAGCTGGGATTTCCCAGAGTCCCTTCCAGGCCAATAAACGCCTGGCATCTCCAGTCATACCAGGCACCCTGTCTGTGAGTCATGTTCACTTGTTACTGCGGCGGCAGAATTAATTCACTGTAACACAAACAGCCTTTATTCTGGCAGAAACCAAACCTTGTCAATAGACGGTGGCGCCTGATGAGCTCTGTTCACTGTGTTGTCATTACCGATCCAGCCTGCAGGCAGCGCTGGAGCCCAGGTGGTCCACGCGCAGAGGGCTACCGCCGCCCCGACTGAAGTGGTCGCCATAGCTACAGGTGGTGTGCGAGCTGTGACCCCGGTGACAGCTTCTGCCGTGGTTTCTACTACTTTGAGCCCTGTACAGTCACAAACTCGCCCGCTGGTCCCCCCGGTCACACCAGGTACAAAAATGGATTTGTGCTCAAGTTTTTGTAATCATAGCATGAGTTTTATTTTAATTTTAATTTGTTTTGGGGTTTGTTTTTTTTTGCTGAATTTACCCGTCTGTCGTTGTCCTTCCAGCGCCAGGTATCTCGATGACAACGAAGTCCTTTACTCAAGCCCAACTGCAGATGTTACGACAGCAGCACCTGGCAGCTCCTTCTCAGATCAAAGGTGTAGGCAAAACCCAGGTACACTAGCCTCATTATGCTATGGGTAATTTACTAATGTTATTGAATGTTACTTCTTTTACCTTTTGTTTCCCCGTGGAGAGCAAAGCTTCACATGGACAAGTGTTGAAATTTACAGAGTGTCTGCTTAACCTTAAAGACTTTAATTTGTGTAAATGAAATGACAAAACGTCTTAAATTTGTTTGCAAAAAATTTAGTTGGCCTCAAATTTGTTCATAATATCTCGTAAATTTAGTCTCATTCGATGTGTTTTCATTTTCTCAGAGAACTTTTTTGTCAGACAAACATTTGAGTAGCTTGCAATCATTGTGATTTTGTTTTTTGTATTTTTCTTTTTCAGATTAATTTATTATTATTATTTATTTTACTATTACATCAAATCAATTTTCCAGCATGTGAATGTGTTTACTAGCAATGGAAATAAAGTGATTCTGATTGCATTGTCCATATAAAAGAAATAAATTCAGTGTTTAGATTTTAGCAGAATCTTGTTGCAACAGTTCATTGGAAAGGTCTTCACAACCCTAAACCTTTTCACATTTTTTGTGGCACAGTCATAAACTTTAATGTGTTTAATTGGGGTTTTATGATGCAACTGTGGAGACTTGTAAAGGAGGGGTAGGCTAGTTTCTAAAGCATGTAATATCTCAGGGAGCAGGACTCAACCGGTCATCCAAAAAAATTGAAAGACTTCAGCAAAGCTACCAAGATGTTGCCTTCCACTTAATATGAACCAGAGACGCAACCAAGAAAGTTGTTTTTAATGTTTGCCACAAGTCATGAAAGGGATAGAGAGCATATTGCACTGGGCAAGGCAAGAATTCTCCCTATGAATGAACCCTGTACAGCCCCTTTAACACACTACCTTAGCACTGAGTCATGCTGACGATGCATTTTTTAATGGCAGCCGTCCTCAAGTTCAGAAAGAATGCCTGTTAAAGGCCAGAGTACTTGAGAAAGTGATGAAAGTTCACGTTTTAGCGGGACAAAGATACTAAAACATACCTTCAGAGCTAAAATTAAATTGTTTGAATCTACTTTGCAAAGAAAAGTGAGCAAAGCTTTGAGTCTCCAGCTGTGAGACGAACCTCGAAAGATGTGAAGCTGTAATGAAACACATGTACTGACATTTTCTTCCTTCCATTTCACATTTATGGTCCATTATACACAATCTCAAAAAAAACACATTGAAATACATAGTAAAAATAAAAAAGAAATGAAAAAATGGTATGAATGTGATTAAATGAGATAAACATGAGGCTACGCTGTAAGCAGTGCAACTGATTTCTTTGTGAAAATTGATATTTTCCGTGTAAAACAAATGCGCCCTTGCCGTTTCCTAAGTTTGTTTCCGTTTGTGCTTGCAGGAGTTATTAAAACCTGGACAGAAGCATAAGGGGGCGGGACAGCAGGTGGCGGCGGTGGCGCAGGGTGCCGTGGCCCAGCAGCCCAGCCAGGTGCAGCCCGCTCAGGCTGGCCAAGCCAGTCCTCAGCTGGCCACCGTGGCTGCAGCCAGACCTGGAGCCGTCCTCGCTGCAAACACGCTGCAAGTGACCAGACTGGTAAGATTATTTCAGAAAGAGAGAGATTCTATTCTCCAAAGAATACCGGGCTGCTATGAATGTAGCATTTAACCAAATTTTTTCAAATCAACATTCCATCAAATTTCAAAACCATGTTTTTAGGATGCAAAACCCCCCGAAATGCAATCCATCGATGGATACCAGTGAAACGTGCTTGTAGCGGCTGCAAAAAAGGCAATTACAAAAAAAAAAAATGGATGGTACAGAAAGAACCTGCTGCTAGAGAATGGGGTCAAATAACCGTCACAGTTAATTTAAAAATAGACTTTTTTATTTAAACATTGAAATAAATGGGAAAAATATCTCAGAGTCAAGGATATTGTTTTATATGTACTTTTTCTTCCTTTTTGAGAGAAACAAATAATTCAAAATGATAGGATGCCACCTGACTTCAGTTTGCACTTTATAAACAAAACTCATTGATTCAAAGTAATGTTTTGTGGATTTACAGTTTCGCACATCGATACACCTGATACGGCGACACTCTGGCCCTGTCAGTTTGTTTTTTACTCTCTCCTTTCTGCATTCCTTTTATGTTCCCACAAACAAAACCTGGACAGAGATGGAAGGAAATGGTCTCGTGTGTAAAGCCACATAGACTTGAAAATGAACCGTGTTTACTTGCCGTAGCTTTGGTTAAGCTATACCTAGAAATTCTGTCTGCGAGGTATGCCAGGCAAAATGTTGATGCCAATATCTGATCATTGAAAAATGAAAAAATAAATACGAAAAAAAAGCGAGAGATGGAATAAAACTGATTGAACACGGATTGCATGTTTGCTATAGGCAGTATTTTGGGCAAACAAAGTACAGATATGCATCAGGGGAACTTTGATGCTAGCAGTGTTTCTGTACAGTCATTAAATTCCTCTGGCTTGTTGTCGGCTCTTGGAAATTACTTTCAAACACTGAAGAAAGCAAAACCTTGGGGGGCGTACGGAAAAATTAATTCTGGATTATTTACTTTCCCTTCGCCTATATCACAAGAAAATAAACAGCTCATAATTCAGTTAGTGCAGGATGTTTACGCCAAAAAGTTTTAGGAGCTGCAACAAAAATCAGGGAGAAGAACTACGTGTACTTTAGTTTTCACCCGGGTACTTGCATCCAGATAAATAATCCAAACACGTTCTTCTGCAGCATCTGACTTTTTAAAAACAAAACTTCACACAATCCTTACTTATTCGAGGAACGTTAATGAGAACGCCGAGCTGGTAACGGTGACTTCTTACAACTATATCCCTTGTGCTTGTGCAGACTCGAATGCCCTCTCAGGGGCAAATACAGGCCCAGGCAGGACAGACGGCTCAGGTGACCCTCACCAAGCCTCCGGTGGTGTCTGTGCCAGCAGTGGTCTCTGCAGTGACCACGATGTCAGGACTAAGTGTGGCTATTAATCAAGCACAGAAAACTGGTGAGTCTCAAGACTTGTTTTTTTCTCCCAGGAAAGCATTTTTATTCTCTATTTAAATATGCTGCTATGATCAATTCCACTTGGTTTTGTGTGTGTGTGTGTGTGTTTTTTTTTATCTCGTTTTAAGGGGCCCCTGTGCTGACGACCGGCTTCCCCCTGGTGCAAGTCCAGGGGCAGATTCCGATGAAGAAACCGCAGCACCCGCCAGCCATCCAGGCCGCTGCAGCTCAGCAGAAAGCAGGGCAGCCTCAGCAAGGACAGGCCACCGTTCAGCAGAAGGTAAAGACGCCACAACCACAAACTAGGGGATTCTCAGTCATCAGCGCCGTCAGGGTCTTGTTCATTTATTAGTGTGCTGTGTAAGACAAAATCTTCATCTAGAGTAGTCAGCCTAAACTGTGTGTATTTTATTGACTGAAACGTTTTTTTGGTTAGATTGGTACCCAGCAGGTAACGATGCAGGCGGCCCAGTCGGCGCAGCAGCAACAGAAGGTGACCTACGCAGCAACGCAGCAACTGCAGCCTGGAATCAAAACCCAGTTCTTCACTACTGCATCCATCGCCCAGACCCAAAAACCAGCCGGAGCCCAACAAATCCAGGTGGGTCGGTGCCGCCTGATGGTCAAAAACACAGAAAACACAGGTTTGCAGGTATGCAGTCAGTGTGTGTGCTGATGTAAGAGTTTGCTTTTTATTATAGGTGGCTAAGCTCCCACAAATAGTGCAGCCGGCTGTGGCCAACATTCAGCAGATAGTGTCGTCTCCCCAGCAGGTGAGGGTGAACTGACTGTTAATTAAAGCGGCTAACTTTCCCCACACCTGAAGTATTCTGGTAACAGCAGCGAAGTACAGACCAGAGTGTTGGTCTGTACTAGGCCAATCTAGGCCATAGGCACTGACCCGACAGATTAACTTTAATTACTGACCTGAGCTCACAGTATGCCTGACATAGTTTAGTTACGATTTTACTGCTGTCATTTTTAGACCACCAGTATGTAAAGCGTGTACGTTCTCCCATTTTTAGCTTTTGTTTCACGTTGTATTTGTTGCTGCCTCTTGTCTAGGACTCCTCTGAAAAGAGCTTTTTAATCTTAGAGGATTTTTATTCTAGTAGAAAGGTTGAAAAATAAAATTGAAATAAACTCTTCCAGCTCCACCGTGTTGCTTGTAAGCCACAGGGTGAGTCAAGTGCAAGTCGTCTGGGACGTGTGATTGAAAGGATCGGAGCAGTACGCACATTTTTTTATTGCTGTTTTTATTTCCCGAACAGGTTCAACTATCTCCTCTTCCATGTAGACTATAAGTCGACGAACACAACTTCATGTTGTGGATTTCTCTATGCTGTTGCACAGAAGCCCGATCCGACTATCAAGAAAATAATCCTAAATCTAAATTCCACGGCGATAACCTGCTCTTTGTTTGTCTCATGACCCCAGGGTCAGCCTCAGACAGTGACCCTGGCACAGGCTGCTACGTCGGCGTCGGGTCAAGTTCAGATGATCCCTACAGGGACGCCCACGACGCAGGTGGTCCAGCAGAAGATCATCCCACAGCAGGTGGTGACGCCCGCCACGCAGATCCAGCCGCAGAATCCGCACAGCCCCGCCCATCCGCCCTCAGCCGCCCCCTCAGCCGCCGAGTCCCCCGGACAGCTGCCTGGTCAGGCCCAGCAGCCCACCAAGAATCAGGCTCGCCAAGGGGGCGTGAGGGCCAAAACGCCCGCCAAGCCCAGCGGGGGGAGCAGCTAGGCATGCCGTGTAATGAAACCACTCTCCAAGTGTTTTTTTGTTGGTTTTTTTTTTTTCCTCTGCAGCTCACATGAGGTTGTTCCAGATCCAACAACATCTAAGTCCTGAAAACCAGCCACTGTCTTCATCACAACAAGCCCTTTGTCTCCCCTCCTGTTTAACTCGAATCAATATTTAGGGTTTGTTTCAGAGCTAATAGCTGATCAACACTGGAAGATCAGTGACGAGACAGTGACCCGTTCTTATTTTGATTTAAATGTGTATTATTTGTTATCAACAACGTCAATATGAACCCAATGATCAGCAGCTCAGTCCACCAAACATCACTGGTCTTGTTTTTCATGAATATCTGACCTAACAAGATGGAGTCATTCTGTTTTTGGGGATGAGCTCGCCATTAGTGTAAGAGTCATCATTATTAGTCGCCTGTACGTCCGATTCTGTTGTTACCTAGATGATCGCGTGGACAATAATGGTCTCCTTTAATCTTTTTTTTTTTTTTTTATGTCCGTAAATACACTGTAAACATGTACTTTAGTGTTTTTATGTTTTCTCACTTCTTCTTTTTTTTAATTGATGTCAAAAGGAAAAATAAGACCCTGTAAATATCAACCAAAAAACATTTGTACTTGTAAAGTAGTTGTGTTTTCATTGGATTTTTCAGCCTAATTGTAATAAAGTGTTTTGTTTTTATACACAAA